TGTCACAACAATGAACATTGTAAACAAGTAGATCATATTGTTGGTGTGAACAAAGACATTGGAAAATGTATTTTAACAAAATCTGAAATATTGCACTGAAAATGTCATCGTACTCAACATGGTGCAGCTTAAAACTGGTGAAGTGGCAGAGTAAACTTCAACACTGAGGAATTAAAAATAAAAGTTGCATGTGCACCACTTGGCCACTGGAGCAGATCAACCATGGTTTAAGCAGAGGTTCATTGAGGCACTGAGTGCAAAACCCAATACAAACATCTATAAATTTAATTACAGTAGCACTACAAAAGCTGGTTTTTGATCACAAGTAGCAAATCCACAGTTTTCCAAATTGCACCTGAAACAAATTAAAGTGAGAGCGACAGCAATGCCAGATCCTAGTTCTAATTTCTAAGGTGAACTAAATGCATCATTCTGATTAAATGGAGCTGGTTTAAAACAAGTTTTTAAAGAATCTTAATGTGTCATCTTTTACGCCACCTTTAAATTTGCAATACACATTTCTTATGGCAATATGTTACTGCCAGAAGCATCCCGGGCTGTAAAACTATCCATTTGTTTGCAACCAACCACAGAATTCTTGGTGCTGATGCTAAATTGACAGCACATGTAGCTGATTGTGTGGAGAAGGAAATCAAGTGCAGAGGAAAGAGTTTATTTTTTATAAAACAAGTGTCCTCAGTGTCCTTGGGGCTTCCTCCACTGGGAGAGTTGGGGGTTCGATTCCAGCAGCAGTCACATGCTGAAGTGTCCCTGGGCAAGACACTGAACCTCTCATTGCCTCTGATGCGTGTCCCATCAGTGTTTGAATGTGATCTAAAGCAGCTCTACAGATTCAGATCATCTTTGTGGAGATGGAGTAGAGTGCTGTATGAATGTGTGTGGAGGCAAGAGGGCACAGGTTGTGTTGTGAAGAGCTTTGAGTATCTTGATTAGACAGAAAGGCGCTCTGCAAGTACAGTCCATTTAGCATTTACTTAACTGAAGGAAAATGACTTGGAAGTACCTCGGTGGCAGCCACAAAGGACTGAAGGCTCAAATGCTCAAGGTTCAGAGCTTCAGTAGTTCCCTTCTGTACAAGAAAGTGGACCGTCAAAAATAAAACGCACTAAATGTGTGAGCACAACCTGCACGGTGAACACTAGTTACATTAATAAGTCAGGATTTATACAAATAGATCTCGACTGCAAGCAGCCTACATACATTTTAACCACCCTCCCAGTATTGGAAGCTTATTTGGCTGATACACTAATAGATTCAATGAAAAGTGATGTAAAATATATATATAAAAAGTTCTTCTTAATGCAGGCTTCGTTAAATGACTAATTTTAGTGCTGCAGACCAACTGTGTCATTGTGGTTCTTGTTGCAGTGCATTTTATTTCTAGGTTATAACAAATTTATTCAATTAGTTGATCATTTCCATTAATGTGTTACCCATGATCCTGCAGGCTGCGGCACATTCAAACATCTGTTGCTCACATTTGGATCAGGTTCTTGGCATTAAATAGCATTTTGTAAAAGGTGATATTGTTGATAAGCTGTTGCTACCTGAAGGTCACAGGTTTGATCACCCACATGACCACACCTGAGAAGGATCTTTGTCCATTAAACACTAAAGCTTTTCTCGCTTCAGTGTTCTTTTAAATGAGTGAACAGTGTTTTCATCTGAGGGATGAAGGTGATTTTACAATGAAAATGGCTCCATCCAGTGGGCACACACTTTTTCAAATAAATAAAATAATAAAAATACAATGGCACCAAGATTTATGCAAAACTATCAAAGCTGTGTTTATTTGAAAAATACTGTGCATTGTGATTTACTACATTAAAAAAGTGGAAGATGTTTAAAATAGGTGGACATTTAAAAACGGTGCTCTTTGTTGAATTGTGATCATGTGAAAAATCAGCATCTTGTGTCGATCGTGCGAGTTCCTGCAGAGAGAGAGGAGGAAAGTTAAAATCATGTGCATGGTTTAACATTTTTAACCCCCCCTTCTTTTTATATAAATCGGAAAGATTATTACTATTGACAAGTTTAAGACCTTCATTTTTTAAATTTTGTGGTTTGAAAGTTGTTTTTTTTAATAGCTTGTTAAAAGTAAACTTTCTTAAAGCTTCATTTTAAATGTGCCTCCTCTTTAACCCCCTCCCATGGTAAGAATTTAATTTTCTTTTAACCAAACATCAAAATCTGTTTTTACAAATATTGTTCAGATCTTTTGGACTAGGAGTTGTGAAAAACAAATCTTATTTAGCTCTTCCATCCATTTAATTATGACCAGGTCTCCGAGCTAACTGCTAGCATGAGCTGGGCGCAGACTAAAGTGTATCACAGTCTTAAAATTATTCCGGTGACAAATTTTGATAGTGGCTCATGGAAATGTCATGTAATAAAACGACTGCTGTCAATTTCAGTTATTTACATAGTAAATGCGTAGTAAGGCCACCTGCATCATGAAGGACCACACTCACCCAGCACACTTTTTGCCCCGCTCCCCTCAGGCAGAAGGTTGAGGAACCACTAGACTGAAGAACAGCTTCTACCCTGAGGCTGTTAGACTCATGAATCTCTAACCAGAATAATCACATGTTGCTTCTGATCAGTTTCATGTTGATGTGTTCATGCGTGCTCATCTGCTCACACAGACTCATGCTCGTGCTGCTGTTTGGTGTATTGTTTTTATGTCATTAGTACTTAGTGTATTTTTAGCTCATATTTTAGATCTTACCATTTTTATTTTACACTTTTATACTTTTGTTGGATGTAACTGGGACCCTGTACAGTTTCGTTCCACCACATGTGGTGTGTATGACAAAGAACCTTGAATCCTTGATGCTGTAACACTTCCAGGAGGAATAGTTTAAAAATAATAAAAAAATATGTAAATAAAATGAATAAAAATAATAATTAATAATAATAATAGATAATAATAAATAATAATAATTAAATAAATAATGATTAAATAAATAAACAAAATAAATTACTACTTTCCTTTCAAGTCCAATACAATTTGTTTGTTGGGGTTTAGAATGAACTACATTCGAGGAAAACACCAAAATCAAACCTTGTGATTGTGATTTCTTGTGATTAATAACATGTGATGTGACGTCGCTCTTGGAGCAGTCACCACCAGTGATGGGCACCGCATCCCTCCAAGACTTCCCTGCTGGGAGAAAGGGATTAAAAAAAATAAATTTAAAAAAATTGTGTAAAACCGTAAAAAACTTATTTCCATAGAACATTTAAAATCCTCAGGTGATCGAAGTACTTTCCCCAAACTATACAAAAGTTAAATTGCAACATTGGCAAGAACTTTGCGAGTGGGTGGGGTATACAACCACCTTTACTGCTCTACTTTAAAAGCCTGAACCTAGCAGAGTTCAAGGTCAGTTAGTTTTAGTGCTCGGTGCTCTGATCTGAATGTTAAATGACAAATGCAGTATTGAAATCTAGTAGCAAGTTTTGGGTTAAAATTGTTTGCTTACCAGTTTGCCAGCTGTGCATTGGGTACATCTGGTCTGCATTCCTCCAGTTCTTTTTGAGGGAAACTGGCCCAGTAGAGTTCTCATCCATTTCTCGGATGGTGTTGCCATGGGGACAGTGGCGGAGTCTTTCCAAAGCAACTGACTGGTGCTGTAGCTCATTGCATACACAGTTCTTTATCGCCTTTGGGTAGATTACAGCAGGAGGCCTGTTCGTATTTGGCTTGGACATCAGTGGCTTCTTGAAGTCTGTAATCTTTACAGAGTCATTAGCTGCCCTCCATCTTGGGGTGGTGTGGCATGAACTGTTCCCAGAAGATTCACCCTCAGTGTCGCATCTTTGATGGGGACTACAGAGATTTGGATTTAAATTGTTTCTCAGTCGTTGCGGTGTGTGAGATCTACATGCTTCACATGTTGGTAACAGAGAATCATTCCACTGCTGGAAAGGAACAGCTTTTCTTTTTAAGTTTTGGCCATCACACTCTGAACTAGGAGAAGTGCAAATCCTACGCTTTTCCACACATCTGGAACAAAGTCTCCCCTTATTGGACAAGTAAGGGCTGTACAAGTTCTCATTGAAATTTCTGCTGAGGCAGTACTCATTATCAGAGAAGCTTTGTCGATCCACCTTACCTTTGGGGATGTACCTCTCTTTTGGCTTTCGAATACAAGGTTGTTCTTTATAGTCCAGGTCTAGCTTTCTTCGTCTCTTGGGCACATTGGACCCACGACAGTCCAGTGGTTTGTTCTGCTTCTTAGGAGCTGATGGCATTTTGTTGCAGTAGTAGTTATGATCAAAGTTAGAAAGCCAGCTGGTAGAAGGGAGGTAAGCAGGCAAGGATTCAAATGAAGTGTCTTGATTATCCTCGTCATTGGTTTCTTGCTTTTGTTGATCTCCATCTGCAGCAAGAGGTGAATTGTCCAACACCACCATACTGGGTGAAAGCACTACCTCAGAGTTTGTTAGCTCAGACATTGGAGAATCTTCTGCTGCAAGGCAAATATCACCTTCAGAGGTCATCTCACTCCCCACAGTTTCCACAAGAGGAACCTCTAGTTCATCTTCTGCCAAAGGAATCATCTCAATCACATGGATGCTCTCTTTGATAGGAGCCTCTTCTTTCAACAGCAGGATCTCTGGTGCATTTGCTTCTGTTGAAGCAGTCTGGGAGTTGTTGTTGCTGTTGTTGTTGTTGTTAGACTTCACAAAACTGTTTTGGATCAGTAATTCAGGGGAAGAAATCAACTTTTCTTCTGCTGACCAGACTGTGGACTCCATCTTCCTAAGTTCATCCAGATACTTTGGATCAAATGGCAAGTGAATATCTCTGAGGTTAAAATTTTGGGGGATGGTGCCAAAATCAGTTCTCGTTTCCTCAACTTTGGCACAAGGTACCTCTTGAGATCCTAAACTAGAGCTTTTGTTCATAGGATGTGGGAGGTTCCCAGGTTCCTCCAATGGAAGGATATTTTCACTAGTGCTCAGTTGACCAACTAACTGGATGTCAGGGAAAACTTGGAGTTCTTGTTCAGACTGGTCTGCAGGAAGCTGGAGCCCCTCATCTTGCAGGCTATGAAGGAGGGAACTACACTGGACCATGTCTTGGGAAAAGCTGTGGGACACGTCTGCATTTTCATGAGCATGTAGCAGTTGTAGTCCCACAGGTGTGGTGCAGCATTCAATCCTCACCTCCTCCGTTTGAATCACAAAGCTGCTGTTTGATGGGGTCCTGGTGGTGGTCAAAGGAGGTACATTCTCCTGGACCTCAGAAGAATGATCCTTTTGTACAGCCAAGGCTGGCGAGAAAACTGTTCCAGTGGGGCCACTGGAGTTATGAGAGTTCTTGTGGGAGCTTTGGGTGCTGGTTCTGTGAGCCGATTCAAGTGGTTCAGTTTGAACTTCAGAACTGGTCATCTCTTTGGCAGCAGAGTTGTGCTGGTAGCGGAACCTGCGGGCATGGTAGGCCATGGTCTGGTAATACTGGGGGTTTAGAACACGTCTGTAATCCATCAAATGAAGGCGAGTATGAGGAACGACAAAACCAGGTGCAGGTTGCTCCAAATAAGGGTTGGTCTGGTAATGGGACATCATTGGTAGACTGTAACCTTTAGAAGGAGACAAAAAGAAGAACGCAGTTCAAGAATCTGCAAGATTCCTTACAAATGTCCCAAGTGGAGGCATTAAGACTAGTCCTGAGGCAGCCTTGGGAAAACTCACGATTTGTGGGGGGTGGGGAGAAACAAAAAAAAAAAAAAAAACATTAACTTGGGAACACAGTATTCTACTAAAGAATATGACAGAAGTACCAGGGTAGAGGTAAATCTTGAAAAAGTTGTGTTATGACCCTCAGATGTGTCTTAATACAAACTCTGGAAATAAATATTTTAGTCCATTGTTTTGGTGTCCAACTTTTTAATAATTACATGACGTAGATTTCTAGCTGTTGAAAATTTATTTGAACATTGATAAAGTATTTTAACTGGTTGAACACTCGTAATAAGGAGCTCATCTCAATGTAGAACCACGAATCATTTTGGCAGTAGTCTGATTTATCCATCCATTGATCATCTTTACTCACTTCTTCCTTTTCGGGTCACGGTGGTCACTAGTGCCCATGTCCAGCGATCACTGTGCAAGAGGTGGGGGACACCCTGGACAGGTCTCCAGTCCATCACAGGGACACAGAGACAAACAACCATTCACTCTCTCACTCACACCTAGAGACAATTTAGAGTTGCCAATCAGCCTAACATGCATGTTTTTGGTCTGTGGGAGGAAACTGGAGCACCAGGAGAAAATGCACATGTGCACGGAGAGAACATGCAAACTCCATCCGGAAAGGCCCCCAGACCTGGATTTGAACCAGGGACCTGCTCGCTGAGAGGCAGCAGCTCTACCAACTACACCACCGTGCTGCCCCACAGTCTGATTTAAACACAAAAATGTACATAAGAATAGACGACACCACCAAAAAAAAAAATACAAGAAACTGTAGAGTTGGCTGTTCAGACCGTCTTTCTGGAAGACGGTCTACACGAATGTGTTCGTTTTAAAGGATTCAAAGTTCAAAGTCATGTGCACATCTGGAAACAAGTTTCCCTGAGCAGTGAAAGTCTTTGCTGTCCACAACGAATGCCAAACTGAAAACTTCAGCAGACTCCATTCAGCTGTTCAGAATTTTTTTTTTACAAATACATAAAATATTTACAAAGGATAAAAAACAAAAATTACAAATAAATTTTTTTTTAAAAATGTGCAAAATGTATACAAGTTAATAAAATGGTGCAGTCAATTAAACGTGTTTTAGAGTCAGTCAGTCGTTTAGAATGTGAAGTTCTGCATCTCACACTTCTCTACCTGCAGCCTGCAGGTACGAGTGTGGTCCGTCCATGCTGGACCTTAAATCAAAGAGGGTGTCACTAAAAAGGGTTATACAGCCTTGTGTCAAAAAGGAACTCTTGAGTCTTTGACTTTAGAGATTAAATTAACAAGTTTTTTTTCTCAAATTTCATGGAAATTCCAGATAAACTCATACGTTAATGCTTCAAATGTTGGTTTCATGAAGCTTCAGGGGTTTCAGTTCATCCTAAATAACTGAAAACTTGCTTGAATTTTACATCTGACTGAAACCATGTTACAGCATTAGCATGTTTTTAGAAACTAGGTGTGAAGGTTTGGCCAAAATGAAAAATGAGGCATTTTAAAGTCTAAACTTGAGGCAGCCGTAAAACACTGCACATCATATAAACACCTTAAGATTAGCAAAATAATGTTTGCATCAACTATGCATTCTCCATATATTACTGATAAACAAATAAATGCACGTGGAAGTGGGGTTTTTTTTACCTCTGCAGTAAAATGCATTGCTAAAAACAAAAACAGTAGTTCAAACATTTTAAAAATGGGCTCACCACAGAGTGGTTTCACCAGGATCACCAAAGCATTTGATACCAAACAGAGAAGTGAGAGTTTGGTTCTTACCTAAGCCAGGGTAGCCGTAGTACGGGTTGTAGGACACAGGCATGGGCAAAGCAACAGGCCACTGCAGGCTCTGCATGGGCAGGTATGGCTGCGGCGGCTGGACGTAGAAGAACGGTTTGTGATGCTGCTCCTCAGGACGAGGGGGTCCTGAAGGAGGTGGAGCGGCCTGATGGTTGGCTGGGTCAGCTCCAAGCTTTGGGTTTGGACCTCGAGGGCCCAGACCATAAGCATGTTGCCAGTTAGATGTGGCTGCAGTCATACCTGAACAAAATGTAACGTGAACGATGTAAAATCAAATGTTTCTTGGCAAGAAAACAAAGTTTGTACCTACTGGCAAGAAAGAAGACGTCCACAAACAAACCAACACAGCTGTCCTTTGGGCTTCAGGTTGGAAATGAAAGGCCCACAAAGTAGAGACAAGCTTGTCAAATGCTTCACTGATTGGGCGTGTTCTGGTTCCAGGTGATGACTGTCCAATTAGAGCTTGATGAGTTCCACTCAAAGCCAATGAAAAAGGCTGTTTTTAGCAGGTGACCTCCTGCCTGGTGGATTCGTTCATCTAAGAGGCAGAGGCTGATCTAAAGAAGTATCTTCAGACGCTGTCATCTAACACGAGAAGCTGATTGGCTCAACGGATGGAGACCTGCAGCTGTTTGACACCAGATTTAATGACAGGTGCGCTGTTCATTTGTAACATTCTTTTTGAACAAGGTCTGAACTAAAGCGTACAAAAATGTTTTAAAAATCAAGTTTGACCTCTGAGGACCAGTTTGTGAGGCCTTGAAGAAGTCTACTGTTTATGTGTTAACCACAAAGAATATAACACATTATGCAGCACGGTGGTGCAACGGATAGAGCTGCTGCCTCTCAGCGAGCAGGTCCCCGGTTCAAATCCATGACCATGGGCCCTTCTGGGTGGAGTTTGCATGTTCTCTCCGTGCATGCGTGGATTTTCTCCGGGTGCTCCGGTTTCCTCCCACAGACCAAAAACATGCATGTTAGACTGATTGGTAACTCTAAATTGTCCCTAGGTGTGAGTGAGAGAGTGAATGATTGTTTGTCTCGTTTGTCTCCATGTGTCCCTGTGATGGACTGGAGACATGTCCAGGGTGTACCCCGCCCCTCGCACAGTGATTGCTGGACATGGGCACCAGCGACCCCCGTGACCCAAAATGGAAGAAGCGGGTAAAAGATGATGGATGGATGGATGGGTGAAATATAACAAATTGTTGAATTGGTGATTTTAAAACAGAGCTTGATTTTTGATAAACTTTCTGTGGACTTCCTTCAACATGTCCTGGTGTAAGTCCAACTTCAATATGTTTCCATCTTCCTTTACACTGCTGGCTACTCTGCATTGGTACAACTGGTGACCAGAAAGTAAATGGGTAATGAAAAATACATAGATCACGTGCATTTAGTTAAAAAATTAGCTTGAACAAAGGAATGTGTTGGATAAAAATACCCTCTATTTATCTCACTTACTCAAACTCAGACTGCCAGCTGTGCCTGTAGTATCACATCCGCTCCTCTTCCAGCTCTCAAACACGTGGTTCATGGGCAGTTAACATTCTCAGCTACAGTAATAAAAAAAACAACCATAAAACCTTATCCAAAAAATTCCTAACAGAATGAGTCATAATTCAATATTTCAGCACCATCAACATTTTTTTACTGAGAAAAGTGAAACTGTAAATTGACTCTACTTATACAGCAACTTGGAAGCCAACCAGGCTACTCAACGCGCTTTACAGCACAATCTGTGCCATCATTTACCCATGCTCACAACTTTATCCAGCACTCTACAAAGCTCATTTAAATAAATCATTCAATAAAGTCTAATCGGTGTTTAAAAAACACTTTCAGCTTTATGGCCTTACTCGATTTTAGTGATGTGCTTTACACGTGTGCCCTGTCCAGATTTCTCCAGTCCTTGGACACGGTCTACCACAGTGCCCTAAGGTTCATCACTGGTTATAGTCTCCTCACTGATCACTGGGAGCTGTACTCCAAGTCTGGCTGGTCTCCTCTGAGCGCATGCACGTGTACAGACTCCAATCTACATGACACTGAGTCTTATTTGGGCACTTCACTATAACGGTCTAACAGCCACTATGTCTTATTTTCTAACAAATGTGTCCATCCATCAGCTCCTCGGGTCAGATCTGAATCATAGGGGAAGTAACAGAGTATTCATATTAAATATTCATATTATATCACAATATGAGTGTTAATATTTGCTGCCCACACAGTATGAATCACACAAGCTGATCTGAAACTGTCATTTCTTTTAGTCCCGTCACTCTTAAATTTATGCCGAGAACCTGCACTTTAACTCAAACTAACTTAACTCAGATAAAAGTTACTGGCCAATTTAGCAGAAAACTGAGTCTTTTGAGAATGCAGCAACGTTCATTAAGGTCATCTGGACTTTTTAAATTTTTTTTGAGAAAAAAACATCCAGATGATCTTAATGTTGTTGGATTTTTTACCTGGATTATTGAGCATGAACTTTGATCTTTTGAGAATGACTGTATAACTTCTATGGTACGAGTTCCCATAAATGACAGTATTTTAGTAGATTTGTCATAAAGACGGCAGAACCTCATTGTCTACAAAAACACAAGATATTGAAGTCACCAACATGAATGCACTTAAGCTCTCAGCGCCATCTTGAGAATCTGTCCTCAAAAAGCAGAACATGCTCAGAACAACTTACATTTAGACATGATATGGTGGGAAGATGGAAAACTCTTCTGATGGGAAGACAGCCGTCCTGATGCATTTACAAAATTCAGTTGAGATGGTTTGGACACCATTCAAGAGCCACAAAGACAAACCAAGGACGGTTTCCCCAAAAGCAGAATTTAAATTAGGGTATTTTACTTTATAAACCAAAGATTTTTATTTGGTTAAAACAGTCTCACAGTCTGGATCTGTCTCCCTGACGGTGACAACCATTTGATATTTTTCTTCTTATCCCTACAGGAAAAATAGGAGACATTATCTTTGTGCACGTTTTCACAATGGTAGAGGACTCCAATTTGTCCACTTTGCTTAACCCATCACACGTGATACAGTCCAGTGGAGCAGCAGGCGGCTGTTTCAGTGCCCGGGAAGCCGTGCACAAAGCAGCACCACATACAGACCCTTTCCAAAATATTAGAATATCATGGAAAAGTTGTTAAACTTCCATAACTCCATTCAAAAAAATGTTCATCTTTAATAGATGATGGATTCAGGGCCAGCAATTTAAACAATTTCAAGTATTTTATTCATTTTTCACAATTTGGACTTCCAGCTCATGAAACCCATAAAAACAGGATTTAAAAAAAAAATTTATTGTGGAGAAATCAGCCCACACTACTACTCAGTTTTTGCAGAAAATAAATTAGGATCACAACAAAATCAAAATGTGGTACTTTCAAAATAATATCAATCTTCAGTACTTGATTGGGAATTAATTTCTCTACCTCGATGTGACGAGACATTGACTGGGAGTTATGGAAGCCCAGACTTCCTTGATGCCGTCAGATCTTCTTGGTTGTTCTTTGTTCTTCATTGCATCACATTCACCCAAGCCAGGATAACAAGCAAATCTTGACTTCCATCTCCAACAGTTTTCAGACTGAAAATTGTTGGAGATGGAAGATTGTATACCTGGATTATTGAGCATGGACTTTGTTGGCTTGATCTGTTTAATCATTTAGGTTTGATCTAAATTATCAGAGCAACACAATGAATTGGAAAGAGTTGGAGATGCTTTCAAGTCGTATTTTCCTGAGTTTGGAGGTTAGTGTGGGTAAACGAGACGTGTACTTTGGTGCTGCTCATCCAATGTATCCGTTTAAAATTGTGTAAGCAGCAGGTGATAAGCATTTCTTTCATGTTTTCAGAACTTTTCTCTGGCTCACATGTTTGGATAAGAAAAGACCGACCACAAAACTTTAATATTTTATTGAACTGACCCCAAACAGTGGCACAACGTCTGCAACAACCTTCAAGCCCATGGTTTTGGTGATCTGTAATAATCTTTAGTGTAGGGCAGCGTTACTGCAACATTTTTTTTCTTCTTTTATACAAAGTGATGCTTCTTGTGCGGTGAGCTTCACCTGGTGCTTTAAACATCTTCATCCCTCAACATTCACACCTTTAAGGGGGACCTGGAGAAGAAAGAAACGTTAAAGTTGGTGAAAACTGAACAGACATTTGTCTGGTGACACTCACTTACAGTTCAACAGGTTGTGTTCAAAAGTCTGGCGAGGAACGTTAGCATCTCGGTTCTTTCACTGTGCAGCCTGAGAGACAGAATCCATTTAAAATCACATTCAGAGGGACGAGTTGTCAAACTCACAAAGGTCAAATGCAAACCACCTCTTTCCCAGTGATGTGGTGTCTCTTCGTCACGGTCATCTTGAGGCCTGTGGTACATCGGTTTCCACAGCGTGCTCATCTCTGGTCAGGGGATTGAAAAGCAAAAGATGGAACAATCATGAGAAATGAGGTTTAAACACTGCAGCTAAACTGAAAACATCCAGATATTAGATGTAAAAAGCTAAGACGATGTTATGTTTTGTCATCTGGACATCACCCCATCACACTGAGCTCAGGGGTACCTCAGGGATGTGTCCTTTAACTTGTTACCCTACTGAAAAACAACAACTTTGTTTGCTAAATACAAACTATTGTTAAAATATTCTATTATAAATATTTACTTTGCTTCTGATCACATTTTTTCTAATCTTTTCATTTTTCTTGATTTTGTCAAAATGTTATTTTATTTTCCAAGTTTTTATTTTAAACTTTTAATTTTACTTCTCTTATAGTTTATTTTTTATTTTTTAAACCATACTGTAAAAATCTTTTTTTTCTTACCAATAGATTCAGGTTACTACAGGATCATTTTCCAATCTGATAAAAGCATCTTCATGTTTGTCTTTGTTTTCTTGTTCAGAAAACATAAATGTGAAGAGAAACAGATCAGTTTGAAAAGCTTCACATTAATAGTTATGGATCAGTTCTTCACCAGGTTCCAGCAGCAGACAGATCTGAACTTAAACTGATCTACAGCGGTGCTTGAAAGTTTGTGAGCTCTTCAGAATTTTATACATTTCTGCAGAAATACAACATTAAACATCAGATTTTCTGGGAAATTGGTTCTTCATCTAATTTTAGGACTTGTGTGAAAATCTGGTGATGTTTTTAGTCGTATTCATGCAGAAATATAAAAAACTATAAAGGGTTCACAAACTTTCCAAAACCACTGTGTGAGGTTTCCATCTTCAAGATTAATCTGTTGAAGTGGTTTAAGGATAAGCCTTTAAAAACTTTTTCTTAAATCAAGGATTCAAAAATAGTTGATAATTTTTTAAAACATCTTAAAACATCTATGATGCCGTTAGGTGTTTGATTTCTAATTGTGTCGGCCTGGAGACTTCCACTGAGTGAAAGAAACTTAAAGTTCATATAAACACTTTGAGAAACTTGAGAGTTCTGTGGAAAAAAAATGTTTCAGTTTCCAACACTAGATCATTTTTTCTGCTCATTTATTATTTCCAATACAGTAGTCCTTCGCTACTTTGCAGTTTTTCACCGATTGTCAACTTTAACATTACCCACGTGACTGGGATGGTACGGGATAAAAAGTTAACGAAAAAAAATACTTCTGACAGGTGCTGCCATTTTGTAGTTCTTTCAATAAGCCTAGACTGCATCGCCAGTCCAAAAGAAATACATTACCCAGAAGACAACAGTGCTTCTGGCCACTGCTTTCTGCTGAAATGAGGGAAAGTTTTGATCCGATCCAAACCTGACCAAAACGTTCGGCCCTTATTTATAGAGACTTTGGCGCTGAGTGGATGCAGAGAGCAGATCAGAACTGCATCAGAACCGGACCAGAACTACTTCCAGCCTCATCAGTCAATCCGAGCGCTGCTCGCCGGCCCAGGAATCCTCTTGAGCGAGGAGGCGTTGCATGGAGGTCCCTCCGGAGCGCACCCGGACTATTTAATCTGGATCCCTCTGGATTATTTGGACTCGACCGGGACCATTGTGTGGTTTTGTACTGGCTATCTGAAGGTCCAGCTCTCTCTAGAAGCATCTGATGCTCAGCTCTGCAGAGAGCCAATCAGAACTGGACCAGAACCAGACCAAGGCTGGTGAGTTCCCATTTAAAATTTTACTGCAGCTACTGTACAGTACATATATGCAAGTTGTTAAAATGACAACGTTTAAGAGTTTAGAACATTGCAAGAGTGTGGGAAGGGTTTCTAAAGCCTTAAAATACATAAATGCTAAAATAAATACAACGTTCCTACTTCAGTTTTCCACTTATTGTGGGGGTGTCTGGAATGTAACCCCCACAATAATCAAGGCACTACTGTAGTATTTACAGTATTTGTCGGTGTGGACCTCAGTACCAATGGTCAACTACAGTAAAGATTAATGGAGCTCCTTAAATAAAATTATTGTTCTGAAAACACCCGACAGCTCACACAAATCATGCAGATAAGTTGGCCGTCTTAATATTTAAATGAACTTTGTGCCTCAAACGGTCACAGGATGAAATGCTGGTGAATCTGCTGACAGCGATGCAGGAAAAGAAGCAGATCCACTTATTCAGGGAAACAATGATTCACCATCAACTACACTGGAGCTCTGACTCAAAGGTCTTCCAGACAAACAGCTGGACCAGTCAGTCACATCAAACCATCTGAACTGATTTACTGGGAGGAAGAAGCTTAAAGTGAGGCAACATATTTAGATAAACCCCTGCATCACCTCTGTACGTGCGTAATGTGCATCAGACTCCCTCAGATTGTTGGGCTTTTTATTGGCCCCCAGGGGCCCCCACTGTTTAATATGAAGCAGGCAGGAAGTAACTCTTTCACCACATTATGACTGGATGGATTCTGATTGGTCATGCATCTCACAGGTGATGAAAATGTTGCTCTAGTTCAATAAACTTAAACAGAATGTTTGGATCACAGCACTAAAATAGATTTCATCTAAAAGACTTTGACAATCTGATGTTGAGAATGTGTCTTTTTAAACCTGGTTGATCTTTCATCCCTGATTAATCATTTGCAATAAAAAACAACTCGTGGACTTTGATTTTTTTCCGTGTGTGGACTTTTAAGTTGCATCTTTGCACATAAGCTAAAGAGCCTCCCCCTGACCTGCAGCTGCATTCACCTTGTCGTTGCTGAGGGACTCCTCGTCTCCTCCTTGGAATTACATCTCCATCAGTCCACCTGCCCCGGTCTGTTGTGGTCACATCTTCTCTGCAGAGTCCGTCTGTGAATTAATTCATACATTTAAGATGCAATATCTTTACAACACCGGAGTAAAATAAAATAAGCTGCCCCACCCTGACACGTCCTACACTGCAGCTCGCTGCTGTCCAACTCTTCAGTCTCAGCTTCTGCAGCTTCTGCCTGACCTTCTTGTTTCACCGGCTCTGAGAGCTGGACGTACTGGCTTCTCCTCCAAGGCTTGGCTGCATGTCTCGGAGAGACGGGCCGAGTCCTCCTGGGTGCAGAATGCTTCCTCCCAACCACTCTGACAGGCTGCTCACACCCTCGTCCATATCTGCCCTCCTCTTCAGACTCTCCGGCTTCGTCCATGTACAGTTTAGGGCTGTGGACTCTACTCCTGCTTGTCCCCGTCGTCAGACTTCTCCCACAACAAGAACAGGCGAACTTCTTTGTATACGGCAGCCACAGCTTGAGGGGGCCGTCGTCGGCTGCTTGAGGGGATCCAGCATCAACGTCAGCGAGCCTATTACCAGCGTGCACATGCTTAGGAAAAAGATCAGCGTCATCCAGGTCCGTGGAGAACATTTCGTCTCTGGAGGACAGCTCGTCCAAAGACGGACTAAGCACGCTCATGCGCTCATGTGTCGTCTGCATGAGGTAGTTGTAGTACGAGGCAGATGGAGACGACAGGCACCCACTTCCAGGAGTCAGAACACTATCAAAGGGCAGTCTGAGGATCTGGCAGCTTTCATCAGGCTTAGCTTCATCAGATGTTCCCAGATCTCCTAATTTTGAGACTTTATCACTGCCGTTTGCTTCTTGAAGTGACAGCTTAGGCGATGGTGTGGCCTTCAGGTGTTCCTCGGCATCACATTTGAGGACACTCGAGTCGGACACTGAGATATTTGTCTGGATATCTGTGACCTCTTTCTCAAGTGACACAAAGTGTGTGCTCAGTGAACACTCCTCATGGAGAGAGGAACTGTCCAGAGGCAGCTCCTCCTCCAGTCGTCCTGTCCAGCGCTCCTGTGGACTCAGTGCATCCAACATCCCTTGGCTGGACTCGCTATCGTAAACTGCAGCAGTGGAGTCCATGAAGGTCGCAGCCGGTGACCCCAAACAGTCACGAGGTGTTGACAGAGAGCGACCCTCCTCTTCCATTTTCTTCTCTTCTCTTGGAGACAAACCTGCCGACTGCGAAGCGATGCCAGAGTCGAGCTCTCTGTCCGCGCTCTGCAGATCTGTGGCTCGAATTTTATCCAGGCACTCGATGAGCTTGCTTATGGCATCGCTGGGGTCGGTTTGGGCGCCCGAGCAGGTCGTTTCTCGACGCCCGTGAGGCTGAGGATGATGCTGCTGGCGAGGCGCGTCGCCCCAGGCAGAGGCGTGTTGGAAACGAGGCTCAAACATCCGCCTGTAGTCCACTGGATATAAAGGAGCATGCGGTAAAACAAAGCCAGGGTATGGCATGTATGGGTAAGGAGGCATACAGGGACGGCTGTGGTTAAAACCTAGAAACAGGGGGAAGCAAATCCTGATTTCCTGCAACAGATAACAGGAAAATGCAAGTGTAAATATCTTCATACCTGCAGGCAACCCAAAGTGGCTGTATGGGCTGCCGAGCTGCCACTGAGGGTACAGATAATATGGCTGAGGAGGCTGGACATAGAAAAAAGGTCTGGGGTGGTGACCTCGCTGCTCTCCATTACCAAAATGTGGCTGTTGGCTTGCATCTGCAGAAAGCATTTAAAACTTATTCAAATAAATTAATTTAGCACTTAGGAGCTGACTTGTTAAAAGGAATAAACTTTACCGTCCATTTTGATTCACGTCCTCGCTCAGACTATCGGAAATAAAACGCGCAGAGGGATGAAAACAACCAAATAAACATCCCCGAGCTTCTAGAAATCAAAGACCAGCTTCTCTCTCTCTCTCTGTTTTAAATTAAATCTTCTAAACACTTTCTATTTGACCAAAAAGAAGTAAAACGCTCCTCTTTCTGGTCAATTTCACATTTCTAGTTACAAAAACAGCAGAAACTCTGCGGCTAATCAGTCAAATAGGAAACAGCCGGGGAGCGCACGGTGAGCCCTTCACGGGAAATCGGACAAAATTCATAAATCTATCTATCTATCTATCTATCTATCTATCTATCTATCTATCTATCTATCTATCTATCTATCTATCTATCTATCTATCTATCTATCTATCTATCTATCTATCTAATTAATTAAAAATGTTCAGGTTACTTTGTTTATTACATATTTTATTAAACGGGTGTTTATGAGAGTATTTACAAAAACACAAAGTTAAATAAATGTATAAATATTATATGCACTATAAATGCCGCTGTGAACTCATCTCTGAAGCAGCAAAAACAAATAAAAAAAATAAGCAGAAACGACAAAACGTTTAAGGCTTTAGTGCATCGGTGTTGTTTTTAAAGTGTTTTATAAATAAAGTTGTAAACCACGAGAGAAGCCTGCAAACGCCCCGCGGTGCAGTACCGGCATCATTCCAGCAGAGGGCGCTGTTTCTCTCTTCAGCAGCGCAGGGTCACTGGGTTTGCGTGCATGCGCAGTAACCTCATTTGGCCTTTGATGCGCTCACAGTTTGTCCGCTGCTCAGCTCTAAAAAAATATAAAATTTTAGCGTCTCTGTTTGGCTTCAGGAGACAATTTTACACATCTTGTTGACAAGAAAGCCCACAGTAACGGTTCGGTGTGTGGACCCAGGTACGTTCATGTAAAAAATCGTGTATTTTGCCTGTTTAAGCGGTGTAGTCGTCTGCTTAGCTATTTTTTTTAGCCCAACTGATGAGCGCTCTCTTAGTTTGCTGCTATCGTGTGTTTTCTGGGATAATAACTACACGGTTATGTAGTTAATATTAGTCTCTTGGCTATCTAACAACCAGTAAGTGCTAGCAGCTAACAGCTCATCTACACCGGAACTGTGGGAAGAATCGAAGCTAAAGGTGCTAACTAACCACGGTTTGTACCAGCCTCGTTTAAGGTTTAATTTAGCACAAATCAGCTGATGCGAGCTATGAAATCTTGAACAAGGGGATCGTTTTAAGTTCCTTTGTCTACATTTCGAACGCACTCGGGGGTTTGTTTTGGAGGAAAGTGCAGCGTTGACGTGCTAACGTAGCTAACTAGCGTAGGGCTACTTTGAAAATAAACGGAAAGGCTGAACAGCTCTGACTTCACGGTAAACAGGTGAAACACGGAGCGAAGGTGGAAACATCAGCTGATTACATTCGATTTGTAACGAGTGGTGCCTTCAGCTGGCCTAGCCTTTAGGTGTTGTAGTCTGGTCCATGCTTACATACGCACTAAACAATACAAAATGGGGAAAAACGCTAAAAATAAACAAGTGTTTTAATGGAAAATGTAATAAACGGGAAAAAAAAATACTATTTTACCAGGATGTAAATATAGGGAGACAAAAATTACTTTTTGTATTGTTTCTATATAACTGCTGTATTTTATTAGTACTTAATTCATGTCATTTAATAGCACTATTTATTCTGTGTTAATATACTTCTCTTTCTTAAAATAGTTTTATTTTGTTGTAGCTACTGTAATCTATAGCATGCACTGTTGTTAAAATATTGAATTAAATGTGTATTATGTCAAGTTGCCGTATTGACATTCACAGCATTTCACTGGACATAAAAGCTATTTTTATTTAATTTGAGCGCTTTGTCAACGTTTCGGAAACAAAGACGAATTAAAATTGTTGTGTGGTCCGAGTTTCTGACCTCAATTTACTTTACAACTTCAATTTACTTCACAAAAACGTCATCTTGAGGCCTTTAACAAGTCAAAGTTAGACCTAAACAAATGTAAATGTTAAATGGTCAGTTCATTCTTATTATAATACATTTCCTTGACATACATTATCTTCATCCAGGCCGCATCGCATTCGGCTGAATGCGATGCGGCCTGGATGAAGATCAGTTCCTCCAAATCCGAGGC